ATTTGAAGTGAGTTTCTTACAGGCACAGTAGTTGAATCATGTTTTTAAATCTGCTTTGTTAATTTATATCTTTTCATTAGTGTATTTATTAATATTTAAGGTAGTCATTTATACATTAGGACTCAATTTCACCATTTTGTATTTTGTTTTCTGTTGAGTTATTCATTTGTCTTGTCTCTGCCTACTTGTAGGTTACTTGAGTATTTTACACTTTTGTTTAAAATTTGTTTTTGTGCTTATGTTTTTGAATGTATCTCTTTATATAGTCTTTTTAGAGGTTCCTCTAGGTTTACATTATTTATGTGTAGCTTTTCACGGTTTACTAATGTCATTTTACCAATTCAAGGGAAATGTAGAAACTTTACCTTTTGTCTCCTTTATTCTTCCCTAGTAACCATGTAATTAAATATTTCCTTTACCTACACTTAGTACCACATTTATAGACAGTGTTATAATTCTTATTTCAACTGTCACATAATTTAGAAAACCCAAGAGAAGGAAAATGCATTTGTCTATATTTTTGATTACCATGTTTTTATTCTTCCTTCTTGATGTTCCAGGGTTGCTTTAAAAAAAAGAAACAAAAACCAAAAACCCAAATCACTTCCTTTTTGTTTAGAGAGCTTCTGACTTAAAGAAGTCACTCTTTAAGTCATTCTTTTAGGGTAAGTCTACTGGTGACAGATTCTCCTAGTTTTGCTTCACTTGAAAGTGCCTGAATTTCGTCTTCTTCCTGAAGAACATTTCCACTGGGCATAGGATTCTGGGTTTAGAGTCCCTTTTTTTTCAGCACTTGACAATTTTTGTGCTACTTCCTCTGTCCTCCATGGTTTTTGGTGTGAAATCCATTTCTATTCAAGTGTTCTCTCATAGGTAAGGTGGTGTTTTCCATCACTACTTCCAAGGTAGTTTTCTGTGTCTTTAGTTTTCACAAGTTTGATGTGATGTGCCTTGGTGTCTGTTTCTCTGTTCTCTTTCCTGTCTGGTGTTTGCAGGGAGTTACATCTCTTGCCACATTTGGGGAAATTTCCGCCTCCGTTTCTCATACGCTGAACCCAGTCTTTTCTCCCCTCTCCTTCCGGGACTCCGATAACACGTGTTAGAGCTTCTGCTGGAGTCCCACGGGTCCCTGGGCTCTGCTGCCCTCTCTTGCCCTGCCTGCTCTTTCTCTGTTGTCAGAGGACGTGAGTTCTGTTCTGTGTGCATGTTTGCGGGTTCTTTCCTCGGTCAGTTCCGTTCTTCTACTTAGCTCATCCACAGAGCTGCTTACTTCGGCTATTGTGTTTTTCATTTCTAAAATTTTCCATTTGGTTCTTTATATCTTTTATTTCTTTGTTGAGTCTTTCTATATTGTTTTACTTGTTTCTCGTATATTCATAAGTTCCTTATTCACTTCTCCAGCACTCAGAAATTCTTGGTTCTTAGTCTGATGAGTGATTTTCAGTTGAAACCTGAACATTTTTGTGTTATGCTATAAAATATTGGATCTTATCTGATTTGTGTTTTGACCGACTTTCTCTTGACACCATTCTGGCAAAGGAAGAAATAGGTGGAGATAGAAGTCCAGATTCCACACTCAGCCTCTGTTGACATCCGAGGTGGGGGTTGGGCTCCACGTTCTTGCTGGATGGGAGTGGGGGTTTCCGCTCCCCCCCAGTCTCCAGGGAGACTGCAGTGGCTTTTTACCACTGGGTGATGGCGAGAGTCCTAATTCTGACACTACCTAGTGGGGAGCTGGACAGATGCTTCTTTCTTTCTCTATTTCTTGAGGTATAATTCATTACAATATTATATGTTGTTGTTGTTGTTCAGTCACTAAGTTGTGTCCAACTCTTTGCGACCCCATGGACTGCAGCACACCAGACTTCTCTGTCCCTCACTATCTCCCGGAGCTTGCTCAAATTCATGTCCTTTGATTTGGTGATGCCATTCAGCCATCTCGCCCTCTGTCGTCCCCTTCTGCCACTGCCCTCAGTCTTTCCTAGCATCAGGGTCTTTTCTAATGAGTCAGCTCTTTGAATCAGGTGGCCAAAGTAGTAGAGCTGCAGCTTAAGTTCAGTCATTCCACTGGAGGTTCAGGGTTGATTTCCTTTAGGATTGGCTGGTTTGATGCTGTCCAGAGACTCTCCAGAGTCTTCTGCAACACCACAGTTGAAAAATGTCAGTTCTTCAGTGCTCAGCCTTCTTTACCAGGCTCTTTACAGTATAGTGATTCCCGATTTTTAAAGGTCATGCTCCATTTATAAGCACATTTATAAGACACTGGCTATATTTCCTGTGTTGTACACTATCCTTGTAGCTTATTTTCTATACAATAGCTTGTACTTCTTAATCTCTTCCTGCTTTCACACCCTCCCCTTCTTTCTCCCCGCAGGTAACCACTAACTTGTTTTCTGTATCTGAGTATGCTACTTTTTTGTTGTGTTCACTAGTGTGTTGCACTTTTTTGACTCGACACGTCAGTGTTACCATGACAGCATTTGTCTTTCTGTGTCCGACTTATTTAAATAAGCATAATACAGAGGGGTGCTTCTTCACTGCTGGGTTTGGGGGTAGAAGTCCAGGCTCCTCCTCTGATCTTTGCTGACGTGGTGACGTTGCGAGGTGGGGGTGTGGCTTGTTACCACTTAGCATGGATGGAAGTTCCCATTCTTTACCTCCCTTTTTTTAACACCATGCCGGAAGCTTTCACTGTGGCTTTGTTCCCTGGTTTTATTGGTATTTTCAGGTTGGTGGCGGCTGCTGCTCCAAGTCTGAAATCCATGAAGCAGAAAGCAAACCAGAACCCTCCCTGCCATGTCCTTCCTTGGCCTCTGAAACTGTTACTTTGTCTCTTTCTCTCTAGCTTTCACAGCTTTCTTAGTCTGTTTCATGCACAGTGTCCTTGCACAGTGTTTCATGCACAGTGTTGTTGCTGTCCTTAGTGGGAGGAATAGGGGAAAGAAGCGCTGGTCCATCTGAGAAGTGGAGGCTCATCTCTGTTGCGGAAAGATGTCTTCACGGCGCATGGAAACCCTGTGCTGGCGTTTTTCTCTCTACGCTTGAGAGCTGCCTTCTCTTGGCATTGTTTCTCAGCTTCACCTTTGTTCTTATATACATAGTTTATTCCCACCTGCTTTACATTTTTTATTTTTATCACTGTTATAAGTAGCCTTCTGTTTGGGTTTTGTTGAAGTTGTTAGATCTGTAAATTTACTCTTTACGTTTGTATGCTTTTTAGTCATTTTAAAAAAATGTTTATTATAATTGTGCTAAGTCACTTCAATTGTGACCAACTCTTTGTTTGCGACCCTGTGGACTGTAGCCCACCAGGCTCCTCTGCCCATGGGATTCTTCAGGCAATAGTGGAGTGGGTTGCCATGTCCTCCTCCAGAGGATATCCCCAACCCAAGGATCGAGCCCGTGTGTCTTACATTTCCTGCATTGGCAGACAGGTTCTTTACCGCTCGCATCACTTGGGAAGCCCCCAGTATTTATAAACATTAATAAATTAATGCTTATAACAGTTATTATAATTACTATATGGTTAACTTCTTTTTTTATTTTTTTTTATTTTTTGGTTAACTTCTTTACTGTACAGTTCTATTAATTTGGGGGGGTCAGTTTTATGAATTTTAATACAGGTATACGTTCATGTAGACTATCATCTCAGTCAGAATGCACAACTATTCTCCCATTCTTAAAAAAAAGACTTCCTCATGCTGTCCCTTTGAAAACAATCATTTCTTAAAATATTTGTCCCGTCTCTTCTCCTTCGGACTCCAGTTACATGTACACTGGGGACACCTGGGCATGCTCCCCTAGCTCACTGGTATGCTTTTTTCTTGTTCTTTTGAGAGGTTTTTTTTTTTTTAATTTTTTTTTTTAGGTTTGTGTTTCATAATAGATAACTTCTGTTGCTAAGTCTTCCAAGTTTGCTGATCTTTCCTTCTTTTGTTTCTAATCTGTTATTAACTCTACTTGTTGTGTTTTTCATCTCAGAAATCCTACCTTTCATCTGTAAAGTAGATTTGGTTTTATTTCCTTGTGTCTCCTTAACATGCCTTTGCTTTTTTCTACATCCTTGAGCATCGAAATATATATATATATACACACATGTCTTTTTTTATCACCTTGTTTTTGAGGACATTTCCAGGTCTATTTCAGTGTCATTTCCAAATCTATTTCTGCTTATCTGCTCCCTATTATTGGTCTTTTCTGCATCTTTGCATGCCTTGTACTCTTCAGTTACAATTTTATGTTGCTGGGTGCCAGATTTTTTTTATTCCTGAAAATATTTTTTAGCTTTACTCTGGGACACAGTAGTGTTAACTGGAAATAGTCTGGACCTTTTGAGACTTTAAAAGCTTTGTTAGGCAGGACTGAGCCACCTTTAGTTTTAGGTGTTTCTTGAATTCAGTGTAATTGACTTTTGGGGCCACATAATTCTTTATTATAGAGGCTGCTTACTGTAGGATGTTGACCAGCATTTGTGGTCTCTACCCACTAGATGCCATTAGCACCACTTAGTATGAGCTAAGGTGGTTTTCCTATTTTTTAAAAGCTGTTAAAAAAATACAACAGAGACCTTTGAATGTGAAAAAGCTAGAACACTTGAGATTTTGAACCCTTGCACAGGAGACATTCCTTTACTGCTTGAGACAAATGGTAGCATAAGGAAAAAAATTGTTATTTCTCCAGCATAGATGCTTCGAAATCAGAAGCGTATGATTTGAGCCCAGTTATGTGCCTGCCTCCTAATGACTATTCGGCATTGAGCGAATTTTTAACTCTCTGAGCCTCAGTTTCCTTTCTTGTAAAAGAGAGCCAGTATATATTTATCTCTTAGGTTTGTTGGAGAATTAAGTGGAAATGAGTAAAAGTATATAGCTCAATAACAGGACATATAGTTACTCTTATCCTTGTTTCAGGAGTGTGCTTGTGTTACTTATAATATCCCTTGATGTACATATAGTGTCATATTTTGCTAACTTGGAGGATTATCATCTGTTATCTTTCAGGTCATGCAGAAGGATTTTGCATGATGTGTACAATGCAAGCACATATCACCCAGGCACTCAGTAATCCTGGGGATGTTATTAAACCGATGTTTGTCATTAATGAGATGCGGCGTAAGTATCCTCTCTAGTAGTTTATATGAATATTTGTTAGCCAGTTGGTCTTAATGATCTGACTGGTAAATGATGAGCTCCTTGGGTATTGCAGCAAATAGTTTATTGTATATAAATATGTCTTTAACGAATAACAGTTTTTTAGCAAACCATTTACTATGTAAACACATTTTGAAACCTAAAGCAAAAGATAACAATATAGTAAAGAAGATGGTATTCAGTTTGATATATAAGCAAATTAAAAATGATAAAACCCTCAAATTTGTTAATAAAATTGGGATAACTTTTGCAGCATTTTTCCTAGATATTTGGATTTCTATGCTGAGTAATACTAACTCTAAATATTGTCCCACCGGTTTCTTTAAATAGTTTCAGTTAGCTTTAATTCAATGAATGAGTATACATAGTGACAGGAATTACCAAAATAAAGTTAATTATATTCTTAAAGAACATTTTATACTCAGAACTTAGCAGATTTGTGGATAAATTTCACAAGTTTCTATATAATTTTTAATGACTTTAAAATCTCCTCTTGCATTATAATGATTCTGATAGGTTCCATGAAATTTTTTATGCACTTTCTGCATGTTTTTTGCAGTAAGCTTTTGTATTATCTTAATTAACTGATTTGGAATAAAAAATGCTTACAAATAAAACAAAAACCTGACTCTTAATCTGGTATCTAGCTGGGTAATTATAGGGGTCCATAATTACACAGTGACAATTTATAATCCTTTTGCCTAAAAAGCTGCTGAAGATAAAGAAGTGTTATCTTGGCCCTTGGTACTATTAACAGGCTGGAGGAGACCATGAAAATTTTTTTTTCAACATTGCTGGATCTTAGCAAAATTTTAGCCAGGGGTGATTTTGTTTGTTGAAAACATGTGTATATTATATATACTGATATGCACATATATACACATGCATACATATATGGCAGACAAAATTAATTTTTTTAAACCTTGTTCTTTAAGAGAATGCTATTGATGTGTATATGTACATACATCTACGGATGTACATATATGGTTAAATATATGGTTATATGGTTAAATAATGAAATTGTTAACATATATGGTTAAATGGTTATAGACACATATGGGTAAATAATGAAATTGTCATTTTTGTAGGTCAGAACTTGTGGAATGTGCTCAATTTCATATGATTCAAGTTAATATATATCTATATATTCATTCACATAAAATTATATGTATAGTTATACTTCTGTATTGTTTTTCATTATCATTTTGGCTTGTGGCTATTTAGTCAATTAGAAATAGGACTGAGATGTTACTGTGCAGTGGAGAATGTATGTTCTCTAGGCTATTGGGATAGAATTAGATAGATTCACACTTGTCTTTTATATAGATTCTCTTAGGGAATTCTAGCACCCAAGTTAAGAGGTATGCACTAACATAACATTTGAGACAAAATTTTGAAACAATAACAGCTAAAGTTGAGTTTATTCAAGAATCATTTTATTGCTGAAGACAGTCTCTGGGCTCTCAGAAACTCCAGCCCATGTGGGCTTTTAGTGGTCTGAAGGGCTCATCCTGGGTGTTCTCAGGGGAAACTTAATTAATTAAGTTAATTAATTAATTAATTAATGCTATTTCCTCATAAAATAGTTATCTAACCAGTATACTGTCATAAGATACAACCTCGGGGGGAGTACAGCCTGGGCGTATGATAGGGGATGATAAGGCTTTGTCTTTCCTCAAACTCTACAGGTATAGCCAGGCACTTCCGCTTTGGAAACCAAGAAGACGCCCACGAATTCCTTCAGTACACTGTTGATGCTATGCAAAAAGCATGCTTGAACGGCAGCAATAAGTGAGTCCACACGGCATGGGTCACCCCCACCCCCAGCCCGGCTGCCCGCGGGCACTCCGCTCAGACTTCAGGAGGGGCTCGCGGAGCTCCCTGTCCGCTGCACCTTTTGACTTTGTGCTGCCTCTTCCTCAAGTGGTTTGCATTATTTTAAAATGGTTGAAATTTTAAAAGGTGTGCTCCCTATCTCTAGCCTTTGAAATCTGTGTGTGTTCCCTTTGTCAGTGGGGTCATTTACCAATCCCTGCAGTCTCTTCTTTAAAATCTAAACATGGGCTCAGGGGAAGGTTGGAGAAACAGAGAAGTCGTCGCCTACTTGCTGTTGCCTCGACACCCCCCGCAGGCGTGCATTCCCTTCCCGCGGCCCCTGGCCCCCGGCCCTGCGTCGGCGGGCGCTCAGCATCTGGATGGTGCTGGGCTGCAGGGCAGAGTGCTCACACTGGTGTCCCAGTCCTGCTGAGGGCGACTGCCTCTTGCTGCGTGCTTCGGGGCCAGAGTCCTGCCCTGATTTCTGGATCGCTTCTTAATACTGTCCGACTGCTTCTCCTCCTCACCCCAGATGTGTCTTTGATTGGGCAAGGCTGCTCTCCAGCTGTCACCATACTGTGCGGCTCTCTTGCGTGAATTCTCAACATGGTTTTAGCATCAGTTACAGCACCTCTTATTTTTGCAGAATGCTTCTCTCATCTCACTCTTTGATTTTTTTTTTCAGATTGGACAGACACACCCAGGCCACCACACTCGTCTGTCAGATATTTGGAGGCTACCTAAGATCTAGAGGTAAACTCTTGGTTTTAAAGGTTGATAATTGTGACCTGGCATGTGGTGTGAAAGGACGCAAGGGCTCGGAAGGGATTAAGAAGGGCCCTTGTGTCTCCCTGCGCCCGGACTCCCATCCCCGTCAGCCCCTGGCCCAGCTTGTGGTTGTCCTCCCGGTCGCTTCCTGTGCCTGAAGAGTCTGGGCTCTTTTCACACTGGAAACTTTCTAACATTTTCAGCACACATAGGTCTCACACAGCCTTTCACAGTTGCAGTAGTATTCCAATTAGTTTAGCTCCCCACCAGTGAATTTTTAGGTTGTTTCTAATTTTTGTTGTTGTTATTACCACTAGCACTTTATTGAGCATCCTTGTATACACATACCTTTATGTCCATGTAAAAGTGTGTATACATACGATAATTAGTTAGAATTTCTGTATCAAAGGATATGTGTTTTCAAATTCTGATTTTGCCATATTGTTCTTCCAAGAGGTTATACCAGTTTACACTCCAGCCAGCAATGTACGTGGACCAAATTAGTGACTCCCACTATGTTGTAACATGTTTTGCCCAGTCTTATAGACGAAAAAAGTACCTTATGGTTTTTGTTTTGTAAATGTATATGTGTGTTCTGTCATTTCAGTAGTTGGTATTGCCATACTGATTATACTTTGCTTATCCTTTGTGTTTTATTTTTATTTCAGTCAAATGTTTAAATTGCAAAGGTGTTTCAGATACTTTTGATCCATATCTCGATATAACTTTGGAGATAAAGGTAAGTTTGGTAGCTGTGGTGGTAGTCAAGTTAAACAAAAATTAGTCACACTTTATATAACTTTATTTATAGTTCTCTTACAATTTAGACTACACTTGTTAGAGAATATGAATTGAGAACTTTAATATGCTAAGACTTCATTAGAGGAGCTTATTGAAACTTTGTATTAGGCATCATAAAAAACTTAAAAATTTTATTACTTGTTGACCTTTAATCTTAATAAAACCAGATTATGATGCCTATATCAGCCGAATTTACGTGGTGGTTATTCTTTAGAAACTTTTTTGCTTCTTGCATTCTCTGAACTCTCCCATTTTTTGTTGTCTGTAGCTTTGTTTTTCTCATCTCAAGTGTGATACATGCTAACGATAAAAATGAGAAACACTGCAGAGACATGTGGGAGCCTGTCCCCAGAATGCACGCTTGTTAACAGCTTGACATAGACTATTCCAGAGTGTCTGTTCACTGTCTGCACTGGCGGGTTTGCGCCTTCAGTCTTTTGGGCCACTTGCTGTTTTCACTCCACTTTGCTCGGGCCTGCTGTGTGTCATGCTTCAGCCGATCTACACGCCTGTCTCCTTCCTGGTAGACACTTTGGTTTTGTTCCTGTTTTATGCTGCTGTAAATAATGCTGCAGTGGGCAACCTCTATTTGTTTGCTTTGGCCACACTGTGCGGCTTGCGGGATCTCAGTTCCCGGACCAGGGATTGAACCCAGGCCCTTGGCAGTGAAAGCACGGAGTCCTAGTCACTGGACCACCAGGGAATCCCCTGCATTTTTTTTTTTTAACTGGGGGTGGGGAGGGCAATAGCTTGGTGTGTACATGTGTAAAACTGAACACCAGAATGAAAAAGTTTCTTTTTACATAAAATTTGCACTTGGCTTTACACTTTGGGGCCATCTTTCTTCTTTTTGCTGACACGCGGCAGTGAGTGGTCACGTGCTGTTGGTGCTCCTCTGTCCGCAGGCTGCTCAGAGCGTCAACAAGGCATTGGAGCAGTTCGTGAAGCCGGAACAGCTCGATGGAGAAAACTCGTACAAGTGCAGCAAGTACGGTGGTGGTGCGGGCGGGGAGCGGGGAGGCTTGCGGTGAAAGGGTTTGGCGTGTCTGCGCGACCAGCAAGGTTCCTGTTAGCTTCCAGGACCGCCTGGGAAGACCCTGGCTCTCTGTTCGCCGAGGGCCAGGGCATCCGAGTCTCAGTGTTAACACTCCTTAGCCCCGGGGGAGGCGGGTCCTCACTCCTGGGGAGCTGGGTGGAGGCGAGGGGTAAGACCAGTCACACGTCAGTGACCCCGGTGTGAAGGTTTGGGGCAGGTGGAGCATCGCTCTCCCCCAGAGCAGTCAAGGATCTCTCTTTTTCATGGTCGTTTCCCAGGATTTGGGGCAGTACCTGCCAGAATCCTCAAGTTTGAATCATTCTGTAATGTTTCCCCATGAAGTCAAGGAGGCCTATTTTAAGAAAGCCCTGTTTCTTATGGTTTAAGTAGATGTTCGTTTTAAGTCAGGTAATATGGGTAAGAGTTGTTACTGAGTAGAGCCAGACCTTGGGGATAACTGTGGGTTTGGTTCCAGACCAGCACAATAAAGTGAATCTTGCAATAAAGCAAGTTGCCTGAATTTTTTTGTTTCCCAGTTTATAGAAAGTTACATCTACATTATACCATAGTTTTTAAGTGCAATAGCATTATGTCTAAGAAACAGTGTACAAACCTTAATTTAAAAATACTTGTTTTAAAATGCCAAAATAACTAGAAGAGTAACATCAAAGGTCACTGATCATCATAACAGATACAATAATAATGAAAAAGCTTGAAATATTGCAGGAATTACCAAAATGTGGCACAGAGACCTGAAGTGAGCAAATACTTTTAGAAAGATGGCGCAGTAGACTTGCTCCACGCAAGGTTGCCGCAAACCTTCAACTTGTGGAAAATACAGTATCTTCAAAAGGCAGTAAAATGCGGTGCCTGGGTTCATTTTTGGGGGGAGAAGGCCCCTTTTCCTTCTAAGACCAGAGGGATGTTGCCTTTGTTTTGAACCTCATGGACGTTTCTAGTCTTTACTTCCTTGCTTTTGTATCTGGGCTTTGTTTTCACAGGGTTCTTCTACCAGCCAGTTTTTCAGTTTGTTTTGAATTGAGACTAACTTATATAAAATCTAGTTTCTAAAGTATCAGTGATCTATAGGACCTGACATTTCAGAGCTGTCCTATGTTTTTCATTCATGTTAACTTAGCCATCTCCCATACTTCAGATTTTCATATTTTCACTGTTGGATGAAAAGGGTGGTATTTCTCATCCAGTACCCTTCTTTTGGAAACTTAGATGTTCCAGAGAAATAACAAGGGTAAGATGAAAAAACAACAACCAACCCATATTAATCTTCTTAAACATCTGTTTTTGTTTTTCCCAAGGTGTAAAAAGATGGTTCCAGCTTCAAAGAGATTCACTATACATAGATCTTCTAATGTTCTTACACTTTCTCTGAAACGTTTTGCAAATTTTACTGGTGGAAAAATTGCTAAGGTGGGTAGATAATATTATTAACAACTGTTTATGCTGAGCCTTTCAAGGCTTAACTGTCAGCAGCTACATGGAAGTTTTATTACCTGATTTTCTAAGTTCTTCCAGCACTTGTTAGTGGAATAAAGTGTCAAAGAACTGAGCTCAAAGTTTGATGTGTGTGTTTACAGGGTGTGTGTTTTTGTCTGTATCCTTTAGCTGGCTAGACTTTCTGAAGATCACAACCAGTGCTTATTACCCGCGTTTGGGCATCAAAGTCAGTGAAGGTGCCGAGTGCGTTCAGGGAACGCTTACGGCATTTCAAGTCCAAAGATTTCCCAGCCACACCTTGCCGTTCTTTCACCAGAACTTGTTTTCTTGCTTATTCATTTGTTTTCTGATTGGTAGTATACTGACTTTTCCCATTTTCTTCTCACTTTCTAAAATTGAAAGTGGTCAGAAATCCAGTAATACGCGGAAGAAATAACCTGCTCCTGAATTGTCAAAAATAAGCGATCACTTCAGGTCCAGACCTGATTGTTAAGTGTCTGCTTTGATGGGTTTGCTTTGTAAAGGAGAGGAAGAACACAGTGGGATTGCACTAAACGCACTTTAGAGTCAGGCGTGCTCCGGGTTAGTTCTGTCTTCTGAAACGAGGCTCGTAAGGCTCCATGCTCTGTGAGTCTCCTGCTCTGCCTCCTTCAGAAATGATGTTCCTTTTTCTCTCTTCATTCTTCTGTAGGATGTGAAATACCCTGAGTATCTTGATATTCGACCGTACATGTCTCAACCAAACGGAGAGCCGATCATTTATGTTTTGTATGCAGTCCTGGTACACACTGGTTTTAATTGCCATGCTGGCCATTACTTCTGCTACATAAAAGTAAGTTGTGTGGATTTTGTTAATAACTCTTTCTACAGTACACTGTAAGATAACACTGGCATTCTTGGGAGGGAAGGGGGGCTTTTCCAGTTGACGTGTGGTAGCCCCTTTTTCTTATAGGTCTCTGAATTGGGGTTCCCCGCATACCTGATCAAATCTGATAGCGCTTTTGTTGGTTGTCTTACAGGCTAGCAACGGCCTCTGGTACCAAATGAACGACTCCATCGTGTCTACCAGTGATATCAGATCGGTACTCAGCCAGCAAGCTTACGTCCTCTTTTATATCAGGTATTGTCAGGAAAGCGCATTTCCACCTTTTCTGTTAAGTCAGAAAGAGCGCTTCACTTCATCAGCATGCTTAAATTCCATTGTTTGCTTAAACAGCATCTCCACGGTGGAAAGAGTAAGGAAGGTGTATTTGAGAGTGGGCCATGTGTTTATTGTAGCTCCCAGCTCTTCGGCAGGTTAGGTTAAAGAAACACACAGAAGAAGGGAAGGGAGTAGCCAGAGGGCTTCTGCTGCTGGCAGCAAACCGGGTGGGCTGGTGGGCCAGGGAGGCAGGGAGTGGAGGCTCCATAAGGGGACTCCTGAGTGCCCGGTGCGGTCACCTCTCAGCCCCTGGGCACCGGCAGCCAGCCACGGCCCCGGCCGGGCCCGGGCCAGCACCCGCCTGCTGCTGCCTGTTACTGATTCGGTAATTCCTTCTGGAGATGCAGGGCCTTGGAACAATCCAGTGAGTGCTCCAAGGTGTATCCATTAGTAGTAGCTGGAAATTCAGAACATCCTGAAACTGCCAACAATAGCAGATCACATAAATGGTAGCATGTGACGAAATACAATGCAACTGTTAAAAGTGGTTTTTATGTTTTTTAAAATGCTATGAGAAGGTGCTCTATATATGGAGGAAAAGCAGTTTGAAATTTTACACACTGATGTTAAGGAGATCAGTCCAGGCTAAAGCCTACAAAATCTGGATGGCAGGTGCCTTGAAGGGGTGAGGGGGCGGGGCACAGTGTCTTTGTTTCTTTCTAACTTTTCAGGACAGCACAGATCTTTCTACAGTGATATGTGTTTAGAATTAGAAAAATGGAAAACAAAAGAAAAATAGCTTTAAAAAAATTAAAAAAAAAATACTTTTCGGCTAGAATACACAGATATCAGATCAGAATACACAGTGACCCTCTTTGTCTGCTGACCTGAGCTCCCAGTGCCAGCCTGGGCCGGACTGGGACTCTGTGCCCTTCCCCAGGTCGCGTCTCCTGTTGCCTGAGGGTGGAGTGTACCTGAGCTCTTTGGGGAGGTGTCCCACGTCATCCTGAGCACTGTCACTCTCCGTCCCCAGGTCCCACGATGTGAAAAACGGAGGTGAACTTCCTCATTCCGCCCACAGCCCTGGCCAGTCCTCACCCCGACCGGTCATCAGTCAGCGGGTTGTCGGCAGCAAACAGGCAGCCTCAGGATTCATTGGCCCACAGCTCCCCTCTCACATGATGAAGGTAACCCTCCCGAGCGAGCATCCAGCCCTCTGCTTCCTGCTGCGGTGCTGGCCCTGACCTCACCCACAGCTGAGTTTCATGCCACAGAAATGGATTCAGGCCGTTCATGATACTTCAAACACAGGGGAAATCTCTGAGGATGAACAGTGCGATCCAGAAGGAAGTCGGGGTGTGAGTCTGTCTAAACACTGGGAACTTGATCTCCCCCCGGACTCTGTTCACTTCACGGAGTAAATATGAGGGGTTCTCGATTCATGCTGGCCCCCAGGAGAGAGAAGCTTGTACCGGAAAAACACTTCTGTTGCCTCCGTTTAGCCCTTTCAGGGGTGTGACGTTTTCTGCCTGCCGTCTGGCTGGGCCTGATCACACCCCTGAGGGCTGCTCAGAGCGAGCAGAGGGCGTGCTCTCGTCCTCAGTGGAGGCCTGGCTTTTGCTTGACGTAAATGTTGAGACTGTGGAAGTGTTGGAATAGCCTGTACACGCCGTGGAATAATCCTCTCCCCTGTGCCATAGTGTCATGACAGCCTTTCAGTCTGACAGGGAGTCATAGCTCAGTGCTGCAGGGAGCTGGACAGGCAGCAGGCCCTGCGCTGGGCTCGGCCTGAGGGATGTGAGGCACATCAGCTGCAGAGCGCCTGCCCTGTGTGGAGGGCCGCTGCTGTTGATTTGTCAGGAGGTGTTTTTGTTTAACTGACGCCTTCCCTTGTAGCTGAGTCGGTAAAGAATCTGCCTGCAGTGCAGGAGACCCGGGTTCAATCCCTGGGTCAGGAAGATTCCCTGGAGAAAGAAATGGCAACCCACTCCAGTATCCTTGCCTGGAAAATCGCATGAATAGAGGAGCCTTGTGGGCTGCAGTCCATGGGGCCTCAAAGAGTCGGGCACAACTGAGCAGCTAAGTTCCGGTGTGAAAGTTAAAGTCACTCAGTTGTGTCTGACACTTTGAGACCCCCGTGGGCTATACAGTCCATGGAATTCTCCAAGCCCAGAATACTGGAGTGGGTAGGCTTTCCCTTCTCCATGGGATCTTCCCAACCCAGGGATCGAACCCAGGTCTCCCACACTGTAAGCAGACGCTTTATCAGCTGAGCCATTATCCAGTGGTAAGTTAGCAACTAGTTCAGATACTTAAGAAAACATTTTGAAGGCCAAAGTTCCTTTATGAGGCAGAATTCACTCGTGACCACCAGTGTGCAGCTTCTGGGTTTTAGCAGCAAAAGCCGAGATGTGGAGCGAAATAACTACTCAAGTAAGAGCGGAGGTCACAGAGGCAGGGATGGCTAAGTGAGCGTGTCCGTCCATGTGACTGTCACCGCATTCCTGGGGCCTTGGGAAGTCCCTGTGGCTGGCCTTCTCCTGCCTGAACTGCCAGGGGCTTCCAGGAAACCACGAAGCAGAACCTGTGTGACTCCATGCCCAAGAGGACCTGCTGCTTTCTGCCAGACTGGAGCAGAAAGAGTTTGGTCTGGGGGTTGTTCTCTGACAAAAGCAGTTGTCCCTGTTTGTCAGAAATTAATTCCCAGAAAACTGCGACCTGTGAAAGGTCTGTGGCGGGCAGGCCCACATGAGAGGGGGAGGTGTTTCATTCCTCATAGAAAGAGAAAAGATGGCCAAAGTGGAAAAAGCCCGCCGCCTCAGGTCTCTTGAGTCTGTGGCGGTTTCTGGAGCTCTCACCTGGCCGTGGTCTGCTTGTCTCCAGAACCCTCCTCACCTGAACGGGACGGGACCGCTGAAGGAAACGCCGAGCAGCCCCCTGTCAGGTCCCAGCGGGAATTCCAATGTCAGCAGGACTGGTCCTGTGAACGCCTCCCCGTCTGTTCAGAACTGGTCAGTTAACAGGCCCTCAGTTATTCCAGAACACCCCAAGAAACAGAAAATCACGATCAGTATTCACAACAAGTTACCTGTGCGCCAAGGTCAGTCTCAGTCTAACCTTCACAGCAATTCTTTGGAGCACCCCAACAAGCCCGCCCCCTCTTCTACCATTACCACTTCTTCTGCAATACAGTCTACCTCGAGTGCCCCCACGCCGCCCGCCTCTAGTAAGGTCCCAAAGCAGATGGCCCCGAGGGAGGCCTGCTCCAGGCCCGTGATGAACGGCAGGTCCAGGCTGAGCGCTGGCGTGCTGGTCCCCTACGGCGCCGAGTCCTCTGAGGAGTCTGATGAGGAGGCCAAGGGCCTCGGCCAGGAGAACGGCCTCGGGCTGACTGAGAGCGCGTGCTCCCCTGCTCCAGACGCCGAAGACGGTGAGGCCTCCCCGCACGAGCTCCGAGAGCCCGTGGCTCTAAATGGTGCTACTGGTCCGGACAGCGACCTGACAGAAAATGGCCTGCCCTCGGACGGGGCCCCTTGCCCAGGCCAGCCCGTGCTGCACTCAGAACACCCCTTTCCCAAGGCAAACGGCCTCCCTGGGAAGGTGAGCAGCTGTGGAGTGGTGGGCAGGCGGGCTTCCCTTCTGCCCTTATGTCTGGCGGGTCGCGTGGCTGGGTTTCAGGAGGGATGGGTGTGGCACTCACAGCTGAAAAACATCCTTGTTTTTTTATCCTAGTTGATGCCTGCTCCTTTGCCACCTCTTCCAGAAGACAAAATCTTAGAGACCTTCAAACTTGGCAGCAAAGCCAAAGGCTTGGCAGAGGAGACGAGGTAAGACGGCTGTCCCAGAGCAATGGGATGTGGGACCGGGCTGCGTCCGCTCGTGGAAGGCTTAGGATGAGCCTTCTGGATCTTGAAATGACGTGAATAATCATCTGTAGAACTCGTTGATTTTCCTGGTGGGAAAGTCAAGTACACGGTTCTCAGGGCCTGTTGGCCCGGCGCCCTCCACCTCTCCACAGCGCCTCCCCCTGTGCTGGGGCGTTGTCAGTACATGTCTGACCAGCCAGCACGCCCCACTCAGCGCCCCAATAGGCACCCGCGGGTGTGCAGGGGGGCTGGGCAGGGAGGCCTCCTCTGTCCAGGAGCAAAGGCTTCGCTATGCTCTCTCTAGAGCTCTGAGATTAAATTAACAGTCAGTGTGGTGTCTCCATGCTTAAAAAACACACCTCAGTGTCCTGACCTCAGCGCACATGACGTGATGGGAGTAAAGGCAGGGCCGTGAGGCAGCAGCCGCGGTCTCCAGGTGAGCAGCCCGGGAGCCGGCACCTCACACAGGTCAGGTCGCATCACCTCACGTCAGCGCCATGACGTCCTCCTGGGGGTCTCTGTGAACCGGCCAGTAACAGAGCTGAGGTGTTCTCCACGTGGACCTCGGGCCATGCGCACCTGGCTTGTTCTGCGGAACTGCCTGCCTCAGCCGCTCCCTACTGGTGCTCTGGTCTCCCCCATCACAGGGACAACCCCCAAATGCACTCGATGGCAGAAGGGCCCTTGTGGGGGACGTGCCCTCACCAAGAACCCCAGTCAGGAATGTTCCCAGGCGAGCCTAAAGAGGGGGCAGCTGAGCACTCAGGCCTTGGCGTCACGGCTGTCCTCACGTCTCCCCTCATCTGGCTCAGCCTGTCTTCAGGTGGAACGTGCGTGAGCATCCTGATAGATGGCCTGTGACGGCCACACCCCAGCCACGCGCACCCCAGCTGCACGTGCGACCTCGAGCCTCTGTGATGACCTCGCGTGTCTTCTCTCTCCCAGACCAAAAGGGGGACCCGCTTTAGGGTTTTTCTTGTTTTCTGGCAGCTTTCCTTAACTTGAGGAGGCCGTCAAAAGCATGGCAGAATTCGTTTACTGCAGCAGTGGTTCCTCACAGTTTGTTGGTAATTCAGGGAGCTCTTGGCTCTGTTGGGAGGTAACTACTCTGCCTCTGAGGCTCCAGAAAAATTCAGAGAAAAGGGATCCAGAGAAAAAGTAAGCGCCCCGTCATTATTTGACTTTTTCAATGGTCTGGACTTAGTTACTGAGAAGAATTAGAAAAATATCTGAAAACGAGAGGCACCTAGAACTGCAGTTGTTGCTGAAAAATGAAGTAGGCTTGATAGAAATTTTTACATTTGTGTATAATGAGAAAACTTGAGGTTTCCAAAAATGATAAAGCCCAGCTTTAGGTTTCAGCCATATACAGTAAAGCCATAAAATATTCAGTAAATGAATGAAGTGTTTGTCCGTCCCTGTAGTCCATTGACAAAAACCCAGAGAGAAAACTAGTAAATGACCCCTGTCCTTCTCTCTGTGGGACTGCAGGACACCTGGCTCAGAGGAGAGACCTCTGGAGCATCCGGAGGCAGAGCTGGAGGCCAGCCACTCCCTTCCCGAAGACGCCCGGGAAAACCTGGAGTCTGTCTCGAGTCTCAGCAGCAAATTCAAGAAGATTTTGCCACCCTCGGACCCCAGCATCAAACCTACCAAAGAAGGAGTCTCTGAACATGTTTTGGCAGAACCCGAGGAGGCCGTGCCGAGTATCAGCACCTTTTGTAACCCCGACAAGGATGCCCTCGGGGACGATCAGCTTCCAGCACCCTGTGACCCTGGGAACTTAACAGACGATCAGAGCAAACCATCCCCGGACGTGGGAGGGACGTTACCAGAGCGGCCCCAGGACCCAGTGGCCACGGAAGCCATGGGGAGGCTGAGCCCGGGTCCCTCTGTGCCTTCTGAGGGCGACTGTGAGCCCGAGCCCTTGGGTCACAGCGGTCGGGACAGAGGCTTGGATGCAGAGGGTCCCGCTAAGAGCACAGGGGTGTCCACAGACGAGGTGCCCTCTCCGCAGCTAGACACGATCACAGAAAACCGTCCCGAGGGGCCCCCCGAGCGCAGCAGCGGTGAGAGAGGGGAAGACAGTAAGGCTGGGCAGAAGGCCCCGGAGCCGTGTCCGGTCCAGGAGAAGGTCAGCAGCCTCAGAAAGGTAGACCGAGGACATTACCGCAGCCGAAGAGACCGCTCGTCCAGCGGCGAGCGCACACGGGAGAGCCGGAGCAGGACTGAGGTGCAACATCGGCGGAAGCGGCCCCACAGGGAGCACGAGCGGCCGCGGCCCGAGCGGCCGCGGCCGGAGCCCTGCGCCCCGGCCCCGCAGCCCCCCTGCCTCAGCTCCCTGGCCAGGTCAGGCCACCACCACTCCCGGAGCAGGGGCGCCCCCGACCAGGAGTGGGGCCGCTACCACCACGCTGAAGGCGAGCATGCCTGGGCCCGGGAGAAGTACTACCCGGAGAGGCTGCGTTGGGAGCGCTGCCGGTACCACCACGACAGGTCCCCCCTGTACCCCAGCCGGGAGCCCCGGGACTGGCGGCCCTTCCACGCTGAGCGAGAGTACGAGCGGGCCGGGCCCTACGGCAGCCGGCCCTACAAGGACCACTACAGAGGCCGCAAGGGCTATGAGCTGGCGGCCAAAGAGAGGGACCGGCACCGCTTCAGCAGCCCCCGGGCAGGCATGGCCCATGCGCCCCCTCCACACCCCGCTGCCAAGTACGCCCACGACAGGCTTGGCTTCGGGGCTGAAGACAGCAGCTGCGACCTGGCCGGGCGGTTTCATGAACACGACGTTAAGTCACGGAAACGGAGATATGATAGCCTAGAGAATGACAGTCATGTAGAAAAGAAAGCCTGGAGAAGTTTACAGAAGGACCCTTTAGAGGAGCCCAAAGTAAAGAAGCACAAAAAATCAAAGAAGAAGAAGAAATCCAAAGACAAACACCGGGACCGAGACTCCAGGTGAGGGGGCGGCTGCACGTGGGGGGCGGTGCTCGCCTTTTGCACCCAGCCTGGGGACAGGTGAGGGCTGTGTCTTGGGTAGTTTTCATCTCGGTGGGTTTGGGACTTCCCTGTTTTTATCAATTCCTAAAACTTAACTCTATTTTAACATGTATCTTATTACGTGGTTTTGTAAAACACCTGAAAACCTGGTCTTTCAAGATGTTGCCGTGTTCGGTTGGTGCTTTGTAACTCTTGAGTACACATGCGGCATTCGGGAGGTAAAGCTTGGAATTTTCCGACTTCACAGTGGTGGTAGTGTTTAGTTGCTCAGTCATGTCCAGCTCTTTGTGACCCCCATTGACTGCAGCCCTCCAGGCTTTCCTGTCCTTCACCAACTCCCAGAGTTTGCTCAAACTGCTGTCCATTGAGTCTGTGATGCCATCCAACCATCTCATCCTCCGTTGCCCCCTTCTCCTGCCCTCAATCTTTCCCAGCATCAGGGTCTTTTTCAATGAGTCTGCTCCTCACATCAGGTGGCCAAAGTATTGGAGCTATAGCTTTAGTCTTTCCAATGATTATTCAGGGTTGATTTTCTTTAGGATTGACTGTTAACATGTTTATTCACAGATGTAGTTATAGTTCTACGTCTGTTGATAATCTCCAACAAATTGTTCAATGAGGTTTCAAACTTAGTTTCCATTTCTCCCATTTCTCAGTTTGAAATCTCATTGGGAAGTTTGTTCTTGTATTTTTTAAAAGCTAAATTGGTCAGCAGTTTTCTTGAAAATGACTTCTCCATGACAAGAGGACTGAGCACAGATACAGTTACTATACAGTGGTATCTCTTAAGATCTAAAAAAAAAAAAAGATCAAAACCCTGGGAAGAGGTTACCAGAAGCCACAGGTGAAGAGGGGTTACTTGAAGGAAAAGGACATCAAATCTCCCTCCTTCTGTGTGCCTGAGACACCCAGCAAAGATACTTTTTCCTTCAGCCACTAGTTTCAGGAAAAGTTGGTGGAGTCCGTCCTTCCTCTGGTGTTTTGGCCAGAGCTCCTCTCCCCAGAGTTGAAGGCCACGGTGGGGACAGGTTGAAACTGGTGAGTTTATGACCCTGGACTTAAATTAATACAGTGAAAACTGCATGTTTAATTAGGAAAGAGTCTCACCTGTTTGTGCGTAGTGAGTGTCCACAGAAGTGGGTGTGAGTCAGAGAGAGGGCCATCTCTCGGGGTGGTTTGCTTTCCTAGTGGTCCTAGTCCTGGCTTTGTCTTCGGCAGGCATCAGCAGGATTCAGACCTTTCCGTAGTGCACTCTGACGCTGACCTCCACAGACACAAGAAGAAGAAGAAGAAGAAGAAGAGACACTCGAGGAAATCAGAGGACTTTGGGCGAGATTCAGAACCGCGCTTGCCCAAGGCAGCCAGCTGTGAGACTGTGGACCATTTCCGGAGAGCCGAGGGCACCTTCCCCCTTGCAGACGGCCTGCCGCTGGAGGGCGCGGCACCTTTCTGTGAGAAAACCAAACACTTCAGGATGGAGAGCCGGGAGGTCAGGTGTCGTCTGTCCGAGTGCGGCCAGGGTAAGGGGGCGCGCTGGGAGAGCGGCAGGGTGAGGGGGCACTCTGGGAGTGGCGGCCCTAGGAGCCCTTCCCTTGGGAGGAGGCGGTCGCTCGGGGAAGGAGCCTCACAGGGCGGGGCAGCTGTCAGTCTCGCTGAGCCCCGCCCCGCGTCCTCAGCCAGCTCCCGCGAGGCCTCCGCGCGGCGCCTCGAGGCTTGTGGGAACGCTGAGTGAGGTAGAGCCAGGAACCTGTGCGGTGTGTGGCTCTGAGCGTCTGACTGTGGACAGAACTTCTGTTTATACGCCATGTTTGACAGAAATATTGTTATGGTACCTCCTTTCTCTCCGGGGTCCTGAACCTCTGCCCGTTGTGAGGAGACCCTGGAAGTCTGTCTGGTGACCGGTGCGCAGGCGTCACGCCTCGGGCCCGGGTCTCGGGCGCCGGCTCCTGGTGGGGGTCCCGGGTCACCGCAGGCTGCAGGGCGCAGAGATTCTTGTCTGTCCTGCAGGGCTTGGCCCATTTATAACTTCCTAGACACTTCTGCTCTGACCACTCTGTACGCAGCCCTTCTGGCTTTCTCAGTTGTTCCCCTGACCTTCGACCCTAGAATGAGTGCCGAGCGTTGGAAGGGGCCAGCTGAGGGCGGGGTTAGGAAGGCCTGCCGGTTAGGAAGGATTTGACATTTTTAAATGGTTGGAAGAGTCCAAAGAAGACTGTCTCATTTCACATGAAAATTGTGTGAAATTGATGTGTCAGTAAAGCTGCGCTGCAGCCCAGTCCCCGCCCGCGGAGCTGGCAGAGCCTGGCCTGGGCCTTCCATGGACCAGCTTGCTGACCCCGCACCCCGACGCCCGAGGTGCCGGCTTGTGACCCTGCCTGCCGTCCCAGAGCCCCAGAGACCATAAGTTCTCTACCATGTCCTGGACCCACTGAGGTGTCATGGTGCTTGGGGGAGGATCCCCTCCCGTGGCCCACAGTCACGTGATGGTTGGTGGAGGAGGGACAGATGGCTGCCCAGCGCACTGGCGTTTGGGAGAAGCAGAGAACATGAGGTGGGGTGTCTGGGGAGGGGTTGATGCTGGGGGTGCTTGGAGCGAATGAGGAGACTGTGGGGCCGTTAGGGAAGCTACGTGTCCTCTGTTCTGTTTGTTAAGATGGCAACAATGTGCATTTCCACCTTGGTTTCCACGAACATTTCCGCCGTTTGGGGCAGGGGCTTGGTGAGATGAGCCCCTTCTGACCGCGTGAGGTGAAGTGGTCCGGGCAGGTCCTCGGGAATTTCTGCGTGTCTGCCTGAATCTTGCTCTTCAGGCTGCAGGTCTAAGGTGAGGACCACAGCCGGAGGCCACCAGCCCACCACGGGCACGGCTCACCCACAGAGCTGGCTCGGGGGACACTAGGTGGCACGCGAAGCCCAGTAGCGGACATGTGGTGGCCCACATGCAGGTCTCCAGGGGCTGCAGGCGGGAGACCCTTTCCTGTCTTCAATCTGATGGCATCTGATGACACTCGGACGCCCATCCTGTCCTGACCTCCTGGGAAGGGCCACCCCCAAGGGCCAGCACCGCTGTCAGCTTTCAGAGGATGGACCTCATTGCCTGCCTGTCTGTCCTGGCGCCTTGACCACTCTTTCCTCCAGACTCCTGTTCTCTGGCGCCATCAGGCTCCGGATTTCTTTGGCCCGACATTGAAATGCTGTTGGGTTTGCTGGGATCAGATTGGGCTGTTCCCACGGGGACATGGCCCTCAGTCACCACGTAAACGCGTTTCAGTGAAACCCTTGGAAGCACAGCTCGTGTAGGACTGATTTCGGGCAACAAACCTAAGTTTCTGAGAACTGCTTCTAAGTTAATGATGTGATACACACAGAGCACAGGCACTAAAATTTTTGCAAAAAACATCATTAAAATGGTCTCCAACCTTTGCTTTCTAGGTGATTGAAAACTTGGCCTCAAAAAAAAAAAAAATTCACTAGTTACGGTAAGCTCTTTTCCTCTCTGCATGTTTTTCCTGACCATTTGTGGAGCCGCTGAGGGGCCTAAGGAGGGAGCTTGGGGCTGCAGGGGAGCAGGTGGGGAGTCAGCCCTTGAGGGGGGTGAGGTTCGGCCCCTTAGACACGCCCTCCCTCACTGTAGAACACAGGGCAGGTCAGAAGCTTAAGTCACTTGAAAGATGGAGAAGCCATTTCTTCACACAGCCCTACCTGAGGGCCTGAGGGAGGGGGCCCTTCCCAAGGCCCCTGTCCTTGAGATTTGCCCACCCTGCACTTGTTTCAGGCAAGTGCTTGACCTGAATGAGGTGCTTTTTTACAGCAAAGCCTCGAGCATCATCAGGCCTGGGGCTCAGTGGCCCCGGTGGGGGTGGGGTCGGGGGAGTGGTCACTCTCCGGAGGGACTTTTCATCCAAATGTGTGACTTCTCATCAGCACGGTGAGGTTTGAGTGAACTGTCTACAGAAGACTACTTTGCGGTCAGTTAACACTTACCAGCATGTCCTCAAGGGGAAGCGCTGAGCCACGTTAAGGAATTCAGACTTTCTTCCTAGGGCAGCCGCTCTGAGTGCCCAGGAGAGGGCGCCCTCCCCACTGGCTTCCCACCTACTGCCCTGGGGGAGGCCAGGGGCCTTTCCCAGAGACCCTGGCACCTGCGAAGGGGCGGGGGGAGTGAGTGGAAAAGAGACAGCCCACCTGGGGCTCACCAGGCCCTGGGTTCCACCTCCTGCCTCCCGACTGCTGACGAGCTGCCTCTTGTCTTTCAGATTCACGTGTTCAACAGAAGCCATCCCCAACCCAGCTTAAATTATAAATAGAGAAAATAACTTTGTTCAAATCTGCGTGGTGCTTCTTTAGTAAATACTGTACAGATTTTACCATGGAGGACTTTTTTTTTTTTAGTTTTTACCTTTTCTTAATTACCCTTATTCCAAACGGATGAACACTTTCTACAACTGCTGACCATTGTAAAATACTGTGTATATAAATCACATTGAAAATAACGCCCTGGACTAGAACATCTCAAATGCTGCTTAATCACAGACTCAGGTTGATCACTCGTATTCCATGCAATGCTCCTCCAAGTTAGATATCCGGTGCAAGACCAACCGGGAAACCATGGAATTATTAAAAGTACAAACTGACAGCGTGTATATTTAATTTAAAGACTTATTTAAAGATTCACAAGCTCTCAACTAGACTTTTGAGAGCAGTCTGTTTTCTGTAATGTCTGATACTAGAAACTAATTTGCTTCATATTTTAGTTGTATTCAAGATTTGAAGATGTATTTTATAGACAAGTTCTGTTTTTGAACTTTGTGGAACTATTCCAATCAATTTACCAGTTATGATGAGTATTTACATTATGAATGTATAATCCAAACATTATTTGTAAGGCCTACAGTATGTTTTTATTACATAACACTTTTTTATACAGTGTCTTGTCTTGACTATGATATTGGAGTCTGAGTTGTCAGCTTGGTCCCTTAAAGTTTCTAGTTACAGACAAAATCATACTGTGATTTTATTTTTAATATGGATATGCTATCAAACTGTGATACACTTATAATTCACTGGTCCTGCATCAGGAGATGGAGTGGGGAAAACTGTATTTAATACAGTTTGTATCTGAATAATCTGTATGGTTTATACAGTTTGTGTTGTTCAGAGATGTCTAAAGTTTGATCTTTGTTTTTTTAAAGATTAAAAAAGCACTTGCCCCACTGTAAATATACAGCATGTAAAATTTATATAGTATATAAATGGCAGCAAATTAAACCTTTTGTGTCTTATTTTTTTTACTGCTGTTTCCGCATTTGCTTGCAGACACTTCTCACAGACTTCTTTCTCTGCATTTACTTTCTTAAAACTTCTAAAGCTCCAGCCACGGGCTCTCGGCCCCACCAGTGAGAGAGTCAGGCATGGGCTGCTTCACCCAACAGTCCCCCTATTTTAAAGAACCCAGCTGTAAGCAATCTTATTTTAACAATGTGTTTTTATTTAATGAACACAGTATTTGCCATTTGACAGCCATACACTCTGCAGGTTTACCATTCACTTTACAACAAAATTATCAATAGATAAAGGATATTTCTTCATGCACGTTGTAGGAGTATATACATTGAATAACAAACACTCCAGAAGTCAACATATATGTACATTATTTACATATTAACTATTTACTGTAAATAGAAATGTTTTCTAAGAAAAAATAAAACAAGAAATCACAATGTGTGGTTTCTGGTCTACAACAGACCTAACTTCTCAGCAAAGCACATCTATGTAGATATATGCATTTTAGCTTGAAAAATATGCATTGCTTTATATGCAGCGTTAAATGCTGCTTCATCTATAAATAGCTCCTATTTGGACTTCGTTTGGTACCACATTAAACTGCTCAAGGATGTTCTGTGATCCTGAAGACACCTGCCTGTCTGGGCACAGGGTCATCCACTTAAACCCCACGTGTCAGTGGGGGCAAGTGGGGCTGTGGAAGCCATGCCTCCCACCCAGCGGACCTTCCCTGCCTCCTGCCCTCTTTCTCTGCAGGTAAGCTCTTTGGCCAGAGTTGGGATAAGACGAGCCATTCAAGCACTGAGCGCAAACGGGAGGGTAGCAGCGGGGTGGACAGGATCACACTGAGGTCCAGGCAACCAGGCCCGCCGGCCACAGACCTGTCCCCACACAGCCCTGACCCAGCGGGGCTTCTGGACCAGGCCCTCTGAGGGCTTAGTGCGGGGAGGACACCTTAAGCCTGTCAGGTTAATACTGTCGCACAAAACCTGGAATTCCATGACTTCACGTAACACTCCTAGAGCAAGGGACAGATCCTGAGCACCATGGCCTTCTGCATCATTCCGGGCAAACAGCCGTCTGGTGAGGCTTCACAAGTGGTCAGAGAAAGATTTTACAGAGGTTTCCTTCTGCTCACTTCTCTCAACCCCACCCTGATGCAAACCCAAAAGACAAAGTCCTGTACCCCCAGGGTCCTACCTGGATCAGACAAAGGAGAGATCAGTTGTCCCACGCAAAATACTGATGGAGCCGGTGGCCCAGGCAACCCAGGAGTGGGGCTGGCCCGAGGGGAGGGCGCTGCCGGTCGTCGTCAGCAGTGTTTGGTCGGGTGGTCTGGGCAGCGTCTTTTCATGGAAGACGGGCCAGAGTTGCATATATGCCAGTCAGGCGTTTCAAGAATGCTGACTTGCCTTTCTCAGAACTAGAGGTTTGAATCTGAGGTATCAGTACAGTAGCAAAGCCTGAACACTTGGGAATGAACCAAAAAAGTCAGTTTGATGCCTGGTGGAGAATCCTGTGCGTGGCCCCCTTTGCGGTCTAGTGTGACTTTAAGCTGCACAAGGCTGAGGGTCCACAGCCATTCCGTCTCAGCCTCAAGGCAACTCCTAGGAAACGTTTTCTCTGTTTTACCTCTCCACACATAGACTGAGGTGGTTTTTCTTGAACTTGACCTTTGCACAGGAGAGGTGATGACCTCTCAAATGTGCAAAATGAACAGGGTGGGTGCCTTCACGGTGGGGCAGGGAAAGTAGGGTCCCCCAGGGAAGGGACCCTCCACCGAAACAGCCCATGTGGGCAAGGGAGTCCATATAATGTGCGGAGGTCCTGATGGTGGAAATGAAACTTAGAATAAAAAGCATGTCACTGGCCCCGCCCTGAATGTCCCACCTGTACACCCCTGGGCCATCTCTGCGGCGTGATGGACCCAGCTCCTCACCGCACGCTTGAGCACCTCTCATTCAGCCAGCAGCACCTGACAACCTCCTGGTCAGGGATCTTCTCCAGTCCGACCACCAGTGCGTGTTTGGGGTTTTAAACTATTTACAGAAAAGCCTACATGCTATACACCTTCATCCGCCAGCCTGCTCTTTCCCTTCCTGTAATAGATCAAATCTCTCAAAACATGGAGGAAGATCAATTATCTCCAGTTCCTTACATGTCTACACATTACATTAATACATCCGATCGAATCATTATAACCATTCGTTTGGCCAACAGGCCTTAAGTAGTGAAGACAGTGGTCACAGCTGGCCTGAACCATGCGTTTGGTTGGACCACGTGACACTGCTATTTGTGGGTGTCAGAAAGGGTCAAATGTGAGCAGTTTCATGTGGTTCAATACATACACTGTCCGTCCTGGGATTCAGCAGTTACAGGATAAACACCCCAAACCAAAATTTAATGATTTGCGTCTTTAGAAAAGTTATCTGTAGGGCCATGAAGACTGAGTTGGATGACTCAGAAGACTGGACCCCTACCCAGTGCGTGTCCTCAAGGACACGGGAGTCTCCCCCCACCAGGGGGCGCCCTCGGGTTCCCCTTGAGCGCGGCACCCCGCTCCCCAGCTGCTGCATGTGTGTGTATATGTAACTTGTTCTCAGTGCACAGTATATACGTGTGTCCAGAAGTTAAATTTATAGCTGCCATTCTAAAAATACTACTGTTATAAAGTATCTTTCATTATAATTTCAGAATATAAAAAGGCGTATAAAAGCTATAATCCTATATATCTGAGAAAAAAACTCAATAAAAAAGTGGTAGCTTTTCCTTTCCTGTTATGATACAAAACAGCGGCTTCCAGAACGGCCAACACCGCCACCGCCACCAAGGAGCACATGTGGCCTCTTGTCTGCCCCGCGGATATTCAAGGCTGGACCACCAGGCGCAGCTGCTGGCCGGGCCTTCGAGAAGGATGTCCTTGGAGCCGGGAGGGTGGCGGCGGAAAGGGGCGACAAGGCCTCTTGAGATCAGCAGGGGCTGCTGTCCCGGAAGAGACAGGGCAGGCCGTTGGGTGGTCCAGGGTGTCGCGGGGAGCCCCCCAGTCACTCTGCTGTGGGGTTTCAGTTTACTTTTACCTGCTGCTCAGACCAGGAAAGCACTATTTCTTATTGGCAATCCTCCTTTTCCTCGTGGCCAACATGTCATAGAAAGGATCCCTGCTGATACTCGCTCTGAGAGAGAGAGAAGATAAAAACACTGGTTTAGGATGGGAGGGGCAGGCCCTACGCACAAGGCCCCATCCCTCAAGGGCGACCCCCCACCCCAGGCCCCGCCCCTCGGGCCCGCCCACAGCCCCAGGCCCCGCCCCCGCCCCTCTGGCAGCCCCGGCTCAGGCCTCACCCGCCCGACCCCGCCCTGGCACGCCCACAAACCAGAGCCCGCCCCTTCGGCCCGCCTGGCGCGCAGGCCCCGCCCCCGCCCCGCCCCCAGCCCAGGCCCCGCCTCGGCGGGCGCGGGCGCACCTGATGGACTTCATCCACTCCTCCTTCTCCTCCGGGCTGGGCGCCGAGATGCGGTACACCACGTGGTTGCCCTCCACCACCCGGCCATCCGCCTCTGTCTTACAGGCTTTGATGACCTGCCCTTTGTGGCTGGGGTTGTACAGCTCGAAACAGTTCTGGCGGAGACAGACAGGGCTGTCACCAGGCGCTGGGGGAGCGGGAGAGAAAGGAGGGCGGCGGGGAAGGCAGCTTACGGGTTTCCGCGGGTCCTCCACCTCCCTGATGCTCAGGTTCTCCAGTGGGATGATTCCCCGGGGCTCCTTATCCTGCGGGACAAGAGTGCTCAGCCAGTCTCCCCCCCACCCACCCACCGAGGGTCCCGAGACCTGGAGGACCCGCAGCCCCGCGCTTACCGTCGTGTATTCAAAGTAATAGAGGCAGTTGTCGGTGAGGATGAACCAGCGCCGCTTCCAGGTCTTCACGCGCCCCCCTAAGAGCAGAGGGACCCCGTGAGTCTGGGCAACGCAGGCCCTACACGAGCTACTGTGCTTTTCAGAAATGCCACTGGGGCCGAGCTGGGTTTTAGGCTTCCTCCTTAGTGAAAACGTTTCACGTTCTGTCCCGGATCCTGGCCACGGTGTGCGGCCTGGCCCGCCCGTGGCTGCCAGAACCCGCATGCACCCCCGCCCGCCTGCAGGGGACCCAGATGACCCGAGCGTTTCCCAAGTCTGCTTCCTGCAAGAGTTAGTCGTGATGAATGGTCTTAATTTCCCCACATGGAAATGACAACAGGATGAAGTCAGCGCCGCTGCCGGTCTGTCCAGGACTTAATCCCGTTACGTCAGGGCTGTCATCGCATTACTGAGGACTTAGGGCAGCCCTGGGATGCATCAAAATCGATTATGGCCTTGGCCCAGGGAATTATTAGATTGAATTAATCTCTTAACAAGATCTGGGACACACACATACACACACAGCTCATCTGCACCTACTCTCCTTATACTACAGAAAAGAAAATCTTTTACCCTCAAATATTCAGCAGAAACCAACTGGCTTCCATTTCTATCTCTAGCCTCTGCTTCCGACATGAAGTGTAAAAACAAAAGTTGAGAGACAGAACATGCCCCTGGTGACAGACGTCTGCGATCCACTGGCACGAGCTAAGCAGCGGCTGCCCGGCCCCCTGGCTCCCCTGGGGCAGGCAGGTGAGACCCTCATGGCTGAGGGTCATGGACCTGGTCCCTGCTGCGGGGAGCTTGAGGAGCCCAGACAGGGACGGGGGGGACATGAAGGCTGTCTGGGAATCAAGGCACAAGGGCTGACATTTGGGGAGATCTGTGGGAAGGAGACACATGCGGACACCCAGCCGCAGGGAGGGGGCCCTGCCTGTGGTTTCAGTGCCACTGAGGGGTCCTCAGAGACTGGGACCCTCACCCTTGGGTCACTGATGAGACATCTGTCCTCATGATGGCCACAGGCTGGCTGGGCAGGCAGGGCAGGCATGTGGGGCAGCAGCCTCAGTCATGCTGTGAAGAGGGTCCCCAGGTTCCCCCACTCCCCTAATCTCACTTTCCATCCCCGTCAGAAGCATCTGTCCCAATTCCGCTGTCCTTGGGGGCCCCTTCATGCCTCCAACCCCCAAGGCCTCCGCCTCCATCCCCTCGAGGTGTTGTCTTGAACCATGGGCAAGTCTCTCTGTTCTCCTGGAAGGCCTCTCAGATCTTCTGCACCTAGAATCCTGCCCTGCTACACCCAAGTTCAGTGGCACGTCTGGAGGAGCCCAACCCCTGGTCCAGCTCTTGAGACCAGGTGAGCTTCTTGGGCCAGGGGCAGTGGGCATTGAGACAGAGGTGTGTGGTCAGGTGGACCCCTGAACCTGGCCCAGCCCCGGGCCCCCTTTCAGGGTGGCGGCAGTGACACTCTTGGTCTCTGAGCTCCAGAAGGTTTTGCTGCAGGAGACGGAGCAGCTCTGCTCATGCATTTATTTGTGGCTGGGCTTTGGAACAAGGGGACACACACACACACACACACACACACACACACACACACACACCCCTGCAGAAGCAGCCTGGCTTCTCCTGACTGGTATGGATAGAAGCAGCCCTTTTCTCTTTGTAAACACCTGCTGCCTGCATGGTTGTTAGCAGACACAGGCTCTCGTGCATACCACGCAAGCCTCTTCTCCATGCCAGCTCTGCGCCAACCACACTCCTGTCTGTATTAACACAACTGACTCACTCTCAAAACACAGTGACTACACGGTATTTACAGGACCATCATTAAGCACCATCACCAGGCTCTGCTCTGGCGGGGCACTCTAAGCACCATCTCCTCTAAGATTAACTTACGACAACAAACCCCCAAGCAAGGTCACGCTGGGACCTCCAGTTCCTAACCTAGCAGGTGCGTGGCCACAGTTCTGACTTCTCTGCCTGCGTGTGCAGGCCGTTCAGGGACCCAGGGATGTGTGTCCTCACCAAGTACAAGTGTGCACCCAGGCCCACCCTAACACGCCCTCAGCACCCGCCTCCTGGATCCCTAGGGGATCGACACCCAGGGACCCTTCGCGGGGTCAGAACCACAAGCAGGAATCTGGCGCGCTGACCAGTCGGCCGTGCGCTGGACACCCAGGGGGATGCTAACAGCTCAGAGCAGAGCGGCCCCGGAGGCTGAGGCTCCGGGCTGCAGGTGAGACCTGTGCCATCAACCAGCTCTGTGGCCCTCAGCCTTGGGCCTGAGGACACAGCAGGGGGCACGGGAGTGGGGGGACAGCAGACCCCAGGCCCCTGGGACACCCCCGGGCACCAACCGGCCCTGTGCCTCATGTTGGTGCTCTCCCCCAACGCTGCGGTCCAGATGACAGGCTGGAACACAAGCCCTGGTGACAGACATCTGGTTCAGTCTTTAGAGCCACCCGGCTGGCACTGGGGGCACCCTGGCTGCCAGGAGGGCCTGTGCTGTCACCATCCCGGGGGGCACTTGCTGGCAACACACAACAGGAAAGGTCCAAGTGCAGCTGCTGCTCTTCTGGGCACCTTCCTTGTGCCCTCATTCCAGGCTCCCAGGCTGGATGGGATCTCAAAGCCTGGTGCATCTGGAAGGTCACTCAGGCATTACTCAGGGCCATTGCTACGGTTCTGGCTTTTTAGGCAAAGATCCAGAAGTCTTCCAAACCCTGGCACAGCCAGAGAAAGATCAGAGCTGGATCCCAAATCAGGACAGCCGCCCCGTGCTACATACCCTTACACCGGCCACACTCACCAGACCCATGTTCATCCTCTCTCGGTTAAAGACTCAAACCACCAGCATTCCTGTAGGCCCCGGTGTCCAACACACTGTCTGCAGAGTGCCTGCGTCATCTGCCTCATCTCACAGGCTCTATTGTCACCAGAAGGAGGAATCTCAACCCCCACCAGAATGAAAGCTCCCTACCGATCCCTAAGATGGCCCAGAAAATATAAATGCTCTTCTGCTTGTTTGTCAATAGGCAAGAAGTTCTTAACACGCTTCTCCCATCCGAGTACTAACCAGACCTGGCCCTGCTTAGCTTCCGAGGTCAGACAAGAGCACCCGCGTTCTAACACACGCGCCTGGACTCTGCACAGGTGGTGCAAACACGCACCGCCTGGTTAGCGGGATGGGCGGCGGGCGATGCGCTCAGGCCCAAGGACGCGGAGGGGCGAGCTGGTCTCCGCTCGGCATCTCCACGCGCCTCGGTCCCTCACTCCTCGCCCAGCCGCGGAGGGTCGACGCGGCCGCGGCACCTGGCCCTGCGTGGAGGATGAAGTGAGCCCGGCACGTCGGAAGCCACGAGGGCCAGATGGATAGCAGGCAAGTCGGAGCTTCACACGAACCGACAGAGAGAGAGGAGAGGAGAGGGCAGCTGGCAAGGAGCAGGAAGCCGCTGGGTACGTACCTCCTAACGCAGGACAAGCAGGGACAGCCCGTCACAGAACAGAAAGGTGGGAGCCACAGGCAGAAGGAAAACAACAAGAAGGCACATTTAAACCACGCATCAAAAGTCAGCCACACCGAACCAAGAGAGGCGGCGGGCGCCCGGGGGTCGGCGCTGCCGCCGGAGCAGACCCCACGGCGGGCGCGCCTGGCCGCTAGGGGGCGGTGTGCGGGGACCTCGGGGAGGCGCTCCGGGCACCGCGGGGGCTGCGGCGCGGGCGGGCGCAGGCAGAGGGGCCACGGCGGGGTCCCGCCCCCGGCACCGCGGCTCACCCAGCTTCAGGAGCCAGCCCTCCCGGTCGGGGTTGAAGAACGTGTGCGTCAGGTCGTTGCCGTCGTCCTCGGGGATCTTGAACGGCTCATTCTTGATGCTCTCGTACAGGTTCTGCGCAGGGAGGGGGCGGTGGGGGCTCAGGCCGAGCGCGACCAGCCACCCCGCAAAGCCCCCAGGGGCGCGCCCGGGGACTCTATAAAGGCCGTCAACTTGGGCGCAAGGGCAGGGCCTGACGCTCCTGAGCACAGAGGTGGGGACGGGATGAGGGGGACACGGGGGGCTGGGGGGGCTACCTGGGGCGGGGACGGGGGACATGGGGAGGGGGCATGGGGAGGAGGGGGACACGGCGGGGCGGCTCACCCGCAGCAGCTCCTCGGGGAGGTCCCCGCCCTCGTTGATGCCACGGTTCATGGTGACAAAGCGCTCGGCGGTGGGCTTGTCGCGCACATTGTGATTGTGGAGGCTGGTGTTGAGCATGATGATGGCGAAGGATAGCACGTAGCATGTGTCTGGGGGGTCAGCGCCGCGGGCCGTCAGCGCCGGCCCAGCCTGGGCAACCCCACACATCACCCACCCACCGCGCTCCCACCGCGCGCACTCACCTGTGGACTGGAAGACGCCGGGGTTGCACAGGCAGTAGCGAGCAGCGAAGGCCTCCATCATGCGGTCGATCTTCTGTGCCTCGCCCGGCAGCCTGAAGCTCCAGAGGAACTGCCTGCAGGGGCGAGAACCCGGGGAGAGGGGTGGTGGGTATCTCCAAGACCAGAGGCCCCGTCCAGGCAGCAGAAGCGCGCTGACCCCCTGGACACCGAGGCGCCCCCGCTGTCTGCACTCCCCACCCACCCGCGGGAGCCCTCGCGGCTGATGGAGAGAACAGGGTCCTCGTGGCCGCACCCCAGACTTGCCAGGCCTGCCCCTCCCCGCGATACAGTTTTCAAAACACGGAATCTAAAACTGGACCCGCCAGAGCGGCCTTCAGCCAAGGCCAGGGGCTGAGCCCACAGCAAGGCAGCGGCCACCTCGGTCCACGGCTGGGGGAGCAGTCACCAGGAGGGGGCGCTGTGGCAGAGGACACCGGAGGCGGGCTGAGGGCAGCACCCGCCAGCGAGGCGGGGAGCGCGGGCCAGGGCGGCCTCCCGGGCACACGCCGGGCCTCCACGCGGTGAGTGGCCAAAGCCAAATGTGGCGTCGTGGGCCCAGGCCTGGTGGCACTGAGACTGCACCCAGAAGTGGGAAGGGGGGGCACCCACAGCTGCCAAAGACCAGGCAGAGCGACCGGGAGCAGGGCAGAACCTGGGCCACGAGGAGGCAGGGGAGGCCCGTCCCCCGTTCCTCCCTCCGGCAGCTGGACTTACCCGGAGGGTCACCGGCCGGCACTGCCGGGCCACTCGCCCACCCAGCCTCCCTTCATGCGGAGGGGATAAACGCTCACCTTAAGGCTTGTACGAGGTTGAGATCAGCAAACTCGTGGAGTTCCACGAAAGCCTGAAGAACTTTAATGTTAAATTCATCCCTAGAAAAGAAAATGGACTTTACAGCCTCACTGCATGTCATTTCAGTCGTTTTATTAGACATTTCCTAAAGCAAGTGTTCAAGAGATTTATAATATCATATGACTAAAAGACAAGTTATTTTTCACGGTGCATTTGTTTTCAGGCTGAGCACAAAGGAGACCCAGTAGGATGTGGCGTTTACGTCACAATCAGTACGAGTCAGGAGAAGACCCCAAATACGAGCCCGACTGCCAAGGTTCAGAGTCCCCTGTGCGGAGCACTAAGGCGCCCACCCAGGTGCGTGGTGCAGAGTCTCAAGCTCAGGGCCACCACGAAGCAGGCGCTAGTCCCGTTCCCGCCTCCCAGGTGGGATTCTAAGGCTCAGAGCCAGGAAACAGCTCCTCCAGGGTCACGAGCCAGAAGGCCGAGGTCCTGGGCTCAGAGAGGAAGACGGTTTGGAAGTGATGCCTGCCATTAATAACTAGCTTTTACAAACTAAACCGAGCAGAGTTTAGTAGAATATCAGTAGAGTTACTCGGTCACATGGTAAGTTCACTATTTGGAAGAACTGCCAATGACTTTCCAAAATGGTTGTACTGTTGTTTTTTTTATAGCCACATATGAGGGTTCCAATTTCTCCACATCTTTACCAACATTTATGATCTTCTGTAATGACAGCCATTCCTAGTGGATGTGAACAGCTACCTCACCACGGTTTTGACTGCATTTCCCTGATGACTCATGATGTTGAGCATCTCCCCATGTGCTTTCTGGCCACTGTGCTTGTGGCCTTGTCACACGCCTGTGTGTTCTGGCTGCACGGGCGCTTTGCTGCAGTGCATGAGGAACAAGCTTAGTTGCCCCATGGCACGTGGGTTCTTCATTCCCCAACGAGGGACTGAACCTGCGTCCCCTGTGCTGGACCACCAGGAAGTCCCCTACCATACACCTATGCATGTATATCCTCTCTGGATGAATGTCTATTCAGACCCTTTGCCCACTGGACGACTTTTTATGACTGAGTTATAAGAATTCTTTTTATAATATACCGGACACAAGTCCTGATCAGATTTATTTCTGATCTACAAATACTTCTTCCTATCCTGTGGGTTGTCTTCTCCCTTTCTTGATGATGTCCTATGAAGCAACTGATATTTTGGAATTTAATGATTCTGTTTTTCTCTTTTGCTGTCATATCTAAGAGACCTTGGCCTAATCTGAGGTCACAGAGATTTATCACAAGGTTTTCTTCTTACAGTTTCAGTGCTTGTGTCTAGGTCTTTGGTGAGCGATCCAGTGCTGTTTTTCTGCGTGTGGATATCCAGCAGTCTCAGCACCGTGTGCTTGAGGGACTATCTCCCCCACCCAAACAGACTTGGCACCTCCTTTGATGGTCTATGTGAGGGTCTATTTCTGGATTCTCAACTCTGTTCCATGACCTATATGTCTGTTCTTACACCAGCACACCAGACTTTCTTCGTTAGTGAAGCTTTTAGTCTGTTTTCTAATTGGGAAGTGTACGTTTTCCAACTTTGTTCTTCTTTTCCAAGACGGTTGTGGCTATTCTGGGTTCCTTGAATTTCTGTATGAATTATGGGATGAGCTTGTCAACTTCTACAAAGAAATTAGCCTGGGTTTTTGCTAGGGAGCATGTTAAATTTGTTTATCAAGGTGTAGGCAGTTGCCATGTTTGCAACATTTAAGTCTTCCTCATACCCCCAGCTAACGGGGGCAAGAGGACTGCTGAGAGCGCAGAGGCTTCTGTGCCAAACATCCCAACAAGGTCACGATGCTTTCTGGGTTGAGCAGCGGCCTCCTGGGTTCTGCCCCAGTCCCCGGGGTGAGCAGAGCACCCCAGAGGAGCACAGACCCCACCTGGCCCCAGGACTGCCCCCTGGCCACAAGGACATGGGGAGCATGGGCACCCCCCCCAGGGCCCACGTGACAGACCCTGATGAAAGGGTTGACCTGGGCAGGCGGGTGGCCCCCTCCCCTTGAACTCACCTCTCACCCAGGTAGTCCCCGATGACCGTCTTATTCAGGCCTTCCCCTTTATACAGGAACTGGGCCACGTCCTCTGGGGAGCTCTGCAGCAGGTCGTTCTCGATTAGAAACTGGATTCCCTGGAGAGGAGATGAAGGAAAGCAGCGCTGAGGAAGGTCCAGAGACCACTGGTTCCACAGCCGAACTGACATGAGAGCACGGTGGGGTGCCCCCATCGCCGAAGTCATCTCAGCCGTCTCAGCAAAGTGCTTCCAGGCCTCCTGGCGAGCGGCTGGGCTAAGGACAGACAGGCTGCGGAGCAAGCCCTCCTAAGTGTCAGCAGACATTATTAAGGCAGAAGGAGCCACAACACAGAACCTCCCCAGCTCAGGAAAAGGGCCTGCGCTGCGTGTGAGAGGAGTTCGTCGTACGCGGCTGGCCAACCCAACGCCGGTCCCAAGCACCCCTCCCTATCCTCCCCTCCAACTTGAAATGACCTCATGAACAGATCGGGTCAAAGAGACAGATGAAGTCTGTGCGGAGGACCCGGGAGAGCTGCTCATTTTCTGATAAAAGGGGACTCCTGAGCAGCACGGCTCCTTCCTCCTCCTTCCTGCCGTGAATGCAGACGTGATGGCAGGAGCCCTGGCAGCCAGCACGTAGGGAAATGCCAGGAAGAACACAGAACCCTGGGTCCTGCCACCAGGGAGCCACTCGATGCTGTGAGCCACCTCTGCTGTGAGAAGACAGCCTGTGGTGTAAGCTGTCTTCATGGATGTCCTGCCACAGTGGCTGAACACACAATCGGCCACTGAACTCAGGCAGTCAAATCCACACCCACGGGGGACCTACGGGAACCGGCCAACAGTCTCTACGAGTGCCTGCTGGGCCCAAGCTAGCAGTGCTCTGGCTCGCAGGAAGCCCAATGAGAGCAAAAGTCTACCTCTGACACAGCTTCTGAGCTGGTTTCAAAACACACATTAGAAAGCTTTTTAAAGAAAGAGGGAATTCTGCTGTTTATTTGCCCCAGAGGTTGTTTCTACAAATGCAGAGATGGTCTTCCAGCTAAAAGTCTAAAGGCCCAAGGCCAGGGCTCCCTCGCACAATCCATCTGAAAAGTCTATTAATTTTTTAAACCCATGAACGTCCCCAACAGCCTCATTTGGAATTTTTAAAAACTGGCAACAACCCAGCAGTCAGTCAGAGAACCATCAAGTATATTCTAGCACATTCACATGATGGAAGACCACAGAACCCGATCGAGTAAACACAGACACAGATAAAACCCACAGACGTGACACGGGGTAAGACGACTCAGTATACTGTAATTCCACCTATGTAAACTTTTAAAAAGCCAACACTCAGGTGCCCTGCGTCTTGGTCTGGGTTGTAGTTACACATGTATTTGCATTTGTTAAAATTCTTCAAGCTGTACGTTTATAATCTGTGCACCATGTTATTCTTCAAAAGAAAAAAAAGTTTACTTTAGAAACCCAGTAAGTCTGACAGTCCTAAATTAACTGCCCTATATTTCTGGTGGGAGCTTAAGTGGGTACAGCCACCTGGGTATCATTTTCAGAGTGTGAAGACACACGCCGGGACAGAGCGTTCTGATGAGAGGTGAGCCCTGTCCTCACCCAGATTCCTGGAAAACAACACCGGAGACGAGGGCGCTGCACAGGTGAGGGACGGAGGGAGGCGAGGGAGGCGGGCTGGGCAGAGGCTGTCTGACCTCAAATCCATGCCACGGGGTCAGAGGCAGGGCCGCCCCCACGGCCTCGCTGGTTCCTCATCGTGAGGACTCGGCGGGCTGTGGGCGAGACGGTAGACTCTGTGCCCCCCACACTGCAGGGAGCCGGGGAGAGGGCCCCCCGAGGTCCAGGACATAGACCGGCGGGAGCTCCCTGGGGCGCAGGCCCCTGTGACCACCATGGCTGTGATACCAGCGAGGGTGGTGCCCAGCGGCCACCCGTGCCAGCCCCCCAGGCAGCCCCCGCAGCGGCTGCCTCCCTGTTGGGGTTGCTCGTGGCCGTGGGCCCGTGGTGAGGCCGTGGCTGCGAGACTTTACTGTGAGCTCTGGCTTCTTTCTCTCTTTTTTTTGGCTGTGCTGCCGGGCATGATCTTAGTTCCCTGACACAGATTGAACCCCCGCGCCCCGCCACCCCCACCTCCCACAGTGAAAGCATGGAGTCTTAACCACTGGACCACCTGGGAAAAGGCCTTTTTAATCCGGCATCTCGCCCATGGGTTCTGGCTTAGACATGTACTATCCCAATGACTCCGTTTCTGAAGATCAGAGAAGGTCTTAGTGGTGAATGTAAATCACTTTTCCAGAGACTGTGGAAAATGTTATTTCATCCTTGATTCAGTGAAGCTGAGGACAAGGTGGCCGTGATTTTCATTTCTTCTTAGAGAGGCTGGTCTCTCCCTAGAAATTTCGTGAGCTTCTCTTTATACCCAAGTTTCCTGATATTTCACTCAATACAGCGACGTGTGCAGGTCTTTTAAAACCGTATATCCTGCTTGGCATTTGGTGAGCCCTTTCAGTCTGAGGAGCTGATCTTCCTCCAGTTCTGAAATGTTCCACTAGTTCTCTGGAACCAGAAGGGCGCTGGAGGGACTAAGCGCTTCCTCCGCACAGCTCCTGACAGTTACTTCTCAGTAAACTTTAGTCCTCGTTATTGCAGGCGTGATGCGGAGTGCATCGGATTCCTAGGCCCTGACAGCAAGCATCTCAGGCCAAGTGGGGACCCCACCCTCAGCTGTCTGTTCTAAGAAAAAACCTGACTCTCCACGAACTAGACGGCCTCCACTGAGCTGCACCTAAACTGAAGGCCTGGTTTTTAAAACTTCCACCTGTTAGATCATCTCCCTCCCGTGCCTGTTACATCTACTCTGTAAACCCAACCTCCAAAGGTTAAAAAAAAACCTCTTATTACAAATCCCAAATACCAGATCATCACCAAGGTCACGAAACTGTTCCCCTGACGATCTGGAGTTGACTCACACCTTGTCAGCAGAGAATCAGGAAGCAACGGGCAAACTCTCACGGCGGCCTGAGCACCCAGCTAAGTGAGCCGCTCCTGCGCCTACAGACATGCTGTATCTGAAGAAAAGTCCCTGTGGGAGCCCTCGCGCTGGGACTCACGGCGTGGCTGTCTGTAAACAACCTGCACCCGGGCTCGTGCCTGGCCGCTTACCTTTTTGGGATCCATGTTGAACTTCTTCCTTCCCATGGCGATCTGCTTGTTCCTCTGAGTCGTTTTGCTGTGTGTGTGGAACAATGAAGAAGCTGTTACTGGACGTCTGCACAGAGCACGGGGAGTCCGTGTCCCCTCCTGACAGGACAGCTCGGGACGGAACAGGCGGAGCCCCCAGCGCCCCTGCCCAAGGGTCCCCCAGGCTCCCGGGTGGGTGCAGCTCAGGGCGGCCATGAGGCTCCTTCCTTTCCCGGTGATGGACTGCCGAGCAGCAGCAGAGCTCCCGGTTAGAGAGCGGGCACGTCGGGGCAGGGTGCTCCTGAGGGGCGTGTGCCGCGTCCTCGGCGCCAAGGCCAGTCAGTGAGGGGTGCCGGAGAAGGGCCAGCCCCCCACAGGCGCCCCCGCTGCCGTCGCCACAGCGGCCCGAGCTCGGCCGGACGCCGGGCTGGAGGGGCAGCCACGGCCGCTCACCTCTCCTCCACCGACGTGAGGTTGTCGATCTCCGTCATCACTTCTGCGATTTCATACTTCAGCCTCTGTTGAGACAGACAGCGCGCGCTGTGGGGCTGACAGAGGGGCCTCCGCCTCCCGGAGACCTTTCAGGCCCCCAGGATCGAGCTGCGCTCGGGCGCGTCCAGACAACACAAGTGTGGAGACACCAGGACCGCTTCTCGACAGAGAGCCTCCCAGTCAGCGCCACCCCAACTCGGGAGCAAACAAAATGACCGCCTGCCCACCTCCCGTCAGAACGAGAGCAGAGGGGCCCCGCAGGCAGGGTCCAGAAGGCGTGTGTGTAAAACCACAGGGGTAAAAAGAGACACAGCGAAAGGAAGCAACAGGTCCTGCCACACGCCCACCTGCCATGGCTGGCACCCAGGTTCTCAGGATGGCCTGGGCCAGACAAACACAGGTCGGTACCAGGCCCCCAACCACCGTCTCTGGATGATTTCTGTCACCCTGGGTGAGACGAGGCACTGTGGACAGAGCCCAGGAGGCAGCAAGGTTCTTCCTGTGGGCTCAGGCAAGCCCAGGCCTGGCGGAGGGACGGGTCCTCCCCGCTGAGACAGCTCTGAGCTCCTGGGCCTTGGTGGCCTCAGCGCAGAAGTGAGCTCATGAGAAACACACAAGGCCCCGTGGGCACTGTGATCACGAACGTCCACATCGGAATGCGAGCCTTAAAACATACTTTCAACCAAAGCACACGTTCTGGGTTACCTGACTTTCCCAAGAATGACAGGTAACCACAGAAGAAAAAGTTTTCCAAACTCTCTTCTCAACTACAAGGAAATTTTTATTGAGACCCTATGATCTCAGGCGCCAGGATACTCCAGACTCACA